GGGTTGGGTTTAGGGTTCAGGCTACCCTAGGTAGGCCTCCGGGATATTCCATATTTTCCCTTGTGGGTTTCTAGGGTTTAGGGTTTAGGGCTTGTGGTTTAGGGTTTAGGGTTTGGGTGTTGAGGGTTTAGGGTTCAGGGTTCAGGGTACTCTAAGTAGGCTCCCGGTATATGTGTTTTCTCCCTTTCTGGGTTTAAGAGGGTCATGTTCCAGGAGTATTTTGCACCGTGCTTCAAGGGCCCTCCTAGAGATAAGCTTCGCTCTTGATGCGCGTTGAGTGCCTTCTTACTTGAGGACGCACTGCCCATGGCCTGCGGCAATCAGCTCTGCGCACCTTCGGCCCAATGCTGGCAAGCTATATAAGTCTGAAAGCTTATAGGGTTTAGGGTTTCGGGCTTAGGACCCTGAATATAAACGCGGGGGGGGGACGGGGGGGGGGCTTAATATTAGGGAACTGATAACCTTAAGTCGTAGTACTTGCAGGGCCTTTTTTCGTGCCTGTAGTTCCGGGAATCCAGGTGAGCTTGGCGCACGTGGCCCTCTGAGCTTTTCGCAGATTAGGGTGCTCGGCTTAATAAGCCCTGAACTGGGCTTTAAGCATAGTTTCATGGTCCCTTTTCTGGGCCCTTAAAGGGGACCCCTTGTATTCCCTATACAACTCAAGGGCCCCTCCGTCGGAACCCTTTTAAGGGAACCCTTTTAAGGGGGCAAGTAACCATCTTAAGAGACCATGAAACTACCTGAGGCGGGCCTCCAACTGCTTCACCATAGGCTGCTTCGTCTCGTGGGTCGGGTTTCGGGTGTGGTGCTCATGACATGCTACCGGCTACTAGGACAGGTTGACCGGCAAGACGTTCCACGCAGACAGAGGCAATCGACCTCGGTGACCAAAAGGGTCATCAGCAAGGACGGATGTTGCAGCTTGCTGCTGCAGCTTGCTGGTTGATCTCTTCCCAGCAAAGCAGCTCGAGGCACATCAGCCGAGCGACGATGGTCGTCTTCCCGGCTTAAAGGCTTAAAGCACAGCCTGCGCTATGCCTTCGGCAAGCACCGTCCCCTCATGGGCAGTGAAGAGCCCACCTTAGAGTTTTCAGGACTTCACAGCCGCAATTCGGCTTGGCGACGTCACGCATGTGCCCCCGCCCAGGAGCAGCCCTGAATAAGCGCCATAGTTCTTCACTTTCACGAGTCTCTGTTGTGGTTGAAACGATCCGTAAAACCCTGAGCCTCCATCCTATATAAACCAACCCTAAAACCATAAAGCCCTATAACCCGAAAACCGTAAAGCCCTAAATCCCCAAAACCCCAAAACCCCTAAAACCCGAAAACCGGAAACCCTAAACCCGACACCCCCAAAACCCTAAACCCAAAACCCCAGAAACCCTAAACCCTATGTCGTAGACCTCGACAAGGCGGAGCATCATGCTTCGTCGTACCGACCGAGAGTTGTTCCAACAGAGGTCCCCCCCGTCACCAAAGTGCTGGTCTATGGGCATCCTGTTCGTTCGTTTAGGGTTTAGGGTTTAGGGTTTGGGGTTTAGGGTTTAGGGTTTAGGGTTTAGGGTTTAGGTTTTAGGGCTTAGGGTTTAGGGTTTAGGGTTTAGGGTTTCGGGAGGTTATGGAGATTGTCGGAACAACGCTCCACTGCACCAACTCGCAGAATCGCCCCGAGTTTCTTGTACAGGAGCTTGTCACACTGACACTAGCTATAAGATTTTTAGTTCTTCGCCACAGTTTCATGCTAAGAGGGAGTTCTGAACACCGTGCCATGGTCCACCGCAGCCCGCAGCCAAACACGTACATTCTCCTTTAGGATGCTCCCTCTTATGCTAGCGGTCCTTAACAAGGATTCCAGGATCTCCTACCATTATCCCGATTAAGGACTGTTAGTATAAGCAGGCACGTCCCAAATTCTCTCAGCAAGGGCTCTAGAATAGCAAGAAACAGCTCGAAGTAGGCGTTAGCTCGAAGTAGGCGTTAGCTGGAAGACCCTAAACCCTAAACCCTACATCCTAAATCCTAAACCTCCTAAACCTTTTGGGATACCTTATATTGAGGCTCCACACTGAGCGTAGGAAGCCACAAGAACGGACCTTTAATTTTTGGGAGCCTTCCACGTGCGTAGGTCTAAGTCACGGGCGGTTTAGGGTTTAGGGTTTAGGGTTTAGGGTTTAGGGTTTAGGGTTTAGGGTTTAGGGTTTAGGGTTTAGGGTTTAGGTTGAAGATCCAGGCCTCGGACGTTTGGGGTCGAGACCTCAGCGGGAACCACTTGCTTCGGAGCGCACAAAACCCCTAAGCCCTAAACCCTAAACCCAACCCTAAACCCCTCACTCCGAAACCTTAAGCCCCAAAACCTTACAGTTCATGAAGTCCCTTCCGATGCGGTACCGGCGTCGTGAACATGATGCTTCGGGGCTGGGCCTGGGGTTTCGTGCCTTCCTGAAACCCTAAATCCTAAACCCTAAACCCTAAACCCTAAACCCAAATAAGGTCTGCAAATGAGGTCTGCAACTCTTATCCTGAAAGAGAGTCTATAGCCCCGAAATTACTGTGCAGGGTTTGGGTTCAGAGTTTAGGCCTTATGACTTGGGGCTTGGGCTAATTATTTTGCGTTGTTTTTTTTTCAGAGAAAACCAAAAAAGCCAGCACAGGGGTTCCTTTCTGTTGACGTTTACAGGGTGGGGCCCCCTTACTATACTAACTGTAGTTAAGGGACTTATAACCTAACTTAGGGTCCTTATAACCCAATTTAGGGCCCTTATAACTCTACTTATAACTAGGGGGCCCCACCCTGTAGGGTTTGTAGCTTGACTATCGGGGGGGAGCCGAGGGCGCTCGGGATTCACGTGGGATTGTAGGAGAAATGGGCGCTGAATCTCCCCGAGCCTTAGAAGCCTAAACCCTAAGCCGCACAAGAGCTTGGCACCAGTAGCAAGGCTAGCCTGCATCCCGAAGTGGCTGGCCTGACAGATTGATGAAGATCTCCCCCCCCCCCCCCCTCCAAAAAAAGAAACGTCTAGACAGGCAATTGCGATTTTCGAGGTTCAGGGTTGCCAAGTTTGGCATACAACCTGCTATACTTGAAGGCCCAGCTTAAGCAACATGCACCTTGGCGACCGATGCTGCAACAGAACATTCGGCGGTCTTCACGCGGGACAGAAAAGCTAGCGCCTTGCCACTGTGCCTTACACAACCCAAAACCCCGAACCCTGACGCACAGGACTGGTTGCGGTGAAGCAACAAGTTGTGCACTTTGTTGTTAACCCCACCATACAGAAACAAATCCTTGACATTCTTGGATTCCTGGGCAGCAACTAGCTTGTAGAACTTACACTAAGTAACCAGAGTATGGATACCAGGAAGGGCCCTTACTACACTGACACTGTATCTAAGTTGCCGTTCTTGGTATAATTTCCCTTACAACTCTACTGAAAACCACCCAAACCCTTTAAACCGTGAATCCTAAACCCTCCTCCCTGTGTATAGATTGTTTACCATAGTTTCCTGTTTTCTCATTTCAGCTTTCTTAGCAGCAACCTGAACCTGAAACCCGAAACCCTAAAACCCTTTAACGTTAAGCTGGGAACCAGATTAGGCTTCGTCGTCACACTCCACATCATACCGATCATACCCGAAACTTACTGTTCGGTAGTAGGAAATTAACTCGCAAAAGCCCCATTCGCCCCCATTCCTTCCTGCAGTCCTGACCAACAGTAAGTTGTAAACAACAGCCCCCAGACCCTAAACCCTAATCCCTATGCCCTAAACCCTAAGCCCTAAACCCTAATCCCTAAGCCCTAAACTCCTAAACCTTAAGCCCAAATCCTGCTTTGCACCGGGATGCTGAAATCCATGCGTCGCCCCTCGGACTTGGCCAAGCTTCGACCTGACCCTCACGCGACAGCATAGCAGAAGAGGGTGTGCCTAGTCTTTAGGGTTAGGGTTTAGGGTTTGGGGTTTAGGGTGTAGGGTTTAGGGTTTAGGGTTTAGGGTTTAGGGTTTAGGGTCGAGAGTGCCTAGAGTTCGAGAAAAGACGATGGAGCCACATTCTGCTAAAAAAAAAAAACCTTTGCCCTAAGCTCGGGATGTTCCCCTTATACTCGCAGTCCTTCATCGGGATTCTCGTACCTCCCTAAAGCCTCAACCGCCGACTTCCTCTCACTTTCAGAGCACTTCTGACTCAAAACCCTCAACCCTTAACCAAAAGCGTCACCAGAAGACCCCGATTCCCCCAGAACCTCTAAACCCTGAACCCTGAACCCTAAACCCTAAACCCTAAACCCTAAACCCTAACAAAAGAGATCCCCCCCCCCCCCCCCCCCCCCCCCCCCCCCAAGCCACTCCACACGTCCGACGTATGATGGGCCAGCACGGGTGCGACGCGCTGCTCGCCCGCAAGTGGCATGACCAGCAACTGTGGGGGGGTTCATGGGTTGAGGCTGCAGGGGTTTGGTTGTTGGCGTTTAGGGGTTTAGGGTTTAGGGTTCAGGGGTTAAGGCTTTGTGGAGTGTGGAGACTGTAGGGGTTTAGGGTTTAAGGTTAGGATTTTAAGGTTTAGGTTTCAAGCCTTGAAAATTTCAGGGTTTCAAGGTTCAGGATGTACCGTTTAGGGTCCTTAAACAAACCCTAGAAGCCCTAAACCCACAGTCCTTCAAATTTTGTTTATAAAAAAAAACTGATGTCTTCGGGGGTTATCAGGGTTCAGGGTGGAGGGTTTAGGGTTGAGGGCACCCCGAACTGGGGGTCCCTTTCAGGGGATTCTATTCTAGTTGGGGTAGAAAAGGGGTACCCCTGTTGTGGAAAATGCCTATGTTAACCTCAGACAAGGTGCCAATGCCCCGACTTAAGCTGTTCGGGGTTGACACAAAACCTGCAAACGCTAAACTAAACCTTAGACCCTATAATCCCTAAACCCTAAACCCTAAAGCCCAAACCCTAAACCCTGCAAAAGCCCCAAAAAGCTCCAAACCTGAGGCGCTTGCAGAGGCCATGAGCCGGCAATGGCGGACCGAGATTCCTCCGCTGTTGGCCGCACGGCCAGCCATGGCTTCAGGGTTTTTGGGTCTGGCGTTTGTCGTGGGAAGTGTTTTTTTTGGTGTGTGTTTTTTTTGGTGTGTGTGTGTGTGTGTGTGTGTGTGTGTGTGTGTGTGTGTGTGTGTGTGTGTGTGTGTTTTTGTGTTTTTGTGTTTTTGTGTTTTTGTGTTTTGTTTTTGTTTTAGTGTTTGTTTTTTGTTTCGTTTGCTACATTTTTTGGGGGGAGATCCTTTGTGGCTTCAGGCGTTTCGGATTTCGGAGTCTTCAGGTGGGTTCTATACCCCCTACTATAATCCCTATTAAGGACGACTGCTAGTATAAGGGTGAACATCTCAAGCTTCAGGTTCGGTTTTCAGGGTTGTAAACTTAACACGTATCGCCCTAAACCCGAGAACCCTAAGCCCGAAACCCTAAGACCCTAAACCCCTGAAACCCTAAAACCCTAAAACCCTAACACCGTAAAACCCTAAAACCCTCAACCGGTGCAGCTCACTTCCAGGGGGTTTAGTCAAGGGAGTCAAACTCGGACCCCTGAGGATGCCTCAGGGATGTTCCCTGAACGTACTCCTACTATGGCCCTTATGTTCCCTTACAGGATCTTGAAAAAGGGTCCACAAACCCAAGGGTACAACCTTAGGGGTCCGAGGTAGAATGCCATGATTTAGGGTGATTGATTTCCGGATCTGGTCTGAGATTGTTCAGGATTTGGGTACTCAGAAATCAGAAATCTCAGGAAGTAGAGATTCGGGGGAGAAAGAAGGTGCCCCTGTCTTTTGTGAAGCTGTTCTTTATCCTATAAACCCTAAACCCTAAACCCTCAATCCTTATAAGGATATGTAGACACAGTTGGAGCATAGGTGCCGAGGTACTTTCCATTCCTGCTGTAGACGGGCTATACATGTACTATACATTGCTGGGGTTCCCACCTTTGTGACTTTGTGCGTTTACTGGAAATGCCAGTGTCTCATATATATATATATATATATACATATATACATGTGTAGGGGTTTAGGGCTTAGGGCTTAGGGTTTAAGGTTTAGGGTTTAGGGTATAGGGTTTAGGGTTTAGGGTTTAGGGTTAGGGTTTGGCGTTTACGGCAGGGGTTCCGTCCCTAAACCTTCAACTTGCAGCCTTAAGGGTCCACCTACATTTGCGTAGGTGAACCAAAAACCCTAAACCCTCAACCCTCAACCCTCAACCCTCAACCCTCAACCCTAAACCCTAAACCCTAAACCCTAAACCCTAAACCCTAAACCCTAAACCCTAAACCGAACTTCCCCATAAGCTTCCAAGGCAAGCCTGGCCGCGGGCCCTTGCCACCTCTCCCGGAGGAAGCCGGGTTTAGGGCTTAGGGTCTAGGGTCTAGAGTTGAGACGAGTTTAGGGTTCAGGTTCTCAGAAGGTTTAGGGTTTAGGGTTGAGGGCTTAGCGTTTTGGGGTTTATAGGGTTTAGGGTTTAAGGTTTAGGGTTGAGACACGTTGGCGCGCAGGGAACCATGAGAACCCAAAGCCCTGCTGTCGGTTGCCTGGGAATATTTGCGCGGCAGCTTGGAGTAATCACCCCTTTGAAAAGCCTTCGTGGGGTTTATAGGGCTTAGGGTTAAGGTTTACAGGGTGGGGCCCCCTAGTTATAAGTAGAGCTATAAGGGCCCTAAATTGGGTTATAAGGACCCTAAGTTAGGTTATAAGTCCCTTAACTACAGTTAGTATAGTAAGGGGGCCCCACCCTGTAGGGTCAGCCCGACCTCTTATAGTCGGCGCTGTTTCGGGTTGGCCTCTTAGTGTGAAGGCATCAGCTTTAGGATCCCTAAAGCATAAACCCTAAGCCCTGAACCCTAAACCCTAAGCCCTGAGCCCTACGCCCTATAAGCCCTAAGCCCTCAAAAGCCTTGGGATCCCCAAACCCTGAACCCTGAACCCTGAACCCTGAACCCTAAACCCTAAACCCTAAATGGCGCCCGGGCCCCCTGCCTCTTGGTTTTCGAAGCGGCCTCACTTGGGTGACAGGCAGCGCTCTTGAACTCTCCGGCCCAGTGGCCCAGCGGCCTTAGCTGACCATCTGGCCTTGAGTTTTTAAGGGTTTAGGGTTTAGAGTTTAGGGTTTAGGGTTTAGGGTTTAGGGTCTTCCAGTCTTGAGGTTAAAGGGGCTCCTGAAATCTCAAGCCCCGTGGGCTTTGGATGTCTAAGGCCAAAGGCACAGCTCTCGACATCCTTAGGGTTTAGGGTTGAGACGAGTTTAGGGTTTAGTGTTTAGGGTTTAGGGCTGAAGGGTTTGAAAAAGCTTAGCCTGTTGGCTTGGAGGGGGAGAAAACGCAATCCCTTCCTAACGTGGGTGGGGTCTTTAAGGCTTCAACCCCTCAGGATGTTCTTCCCTAAACTTTTTGAACCCCAAAGCCTGAACCCTGAACCCTCAACCCTCAACCCTAAACCCTAACCCTAAACCCTAACCCTAAACCCTACACACCCTACGCACCCTACGCACCCTAAACCCCAAATATCCCCACCACGCAGGACCGGCGCCCGCGTGCCCGTGCGCCCCGGAGGCCCAGCTCCGCGCAGGCTGAGAAGTCCAGGGGCCAGGACCACGAAACGGGGTTGAGGGTTTAGGGTTTAGGGTTTAGGGTTGAGGGTTGAAGGTTCATTGTGTATTTGTTTTTGTGGGGGGCGCGGCCGGGGGGGGGGGGGGTTGGGATGTGGGGTGTGGGGTTCAGGGTCCTGGTCAAGGTTTGCGGGAGGCATATTAGCAATCAGCTCCCAAAGAAGCAGCGACTCCAATGGCCCTACCAGCCCTGGCGGCTTCAACAGCCCATTCAAGGGCCCCAAAAAGCCCACAGCAGCCCGAAGCACTCTAAGCCATAAGGACCACCTGCAGCTCTCTGCTCATAACGTCTGGACCCCTAGACCCCAAACACTCTGCCCCAAACCCTAAACCTCATTCCCCACTAAGAGCCGGTAGGAGTTCAGCTTAAATGGGTTTTGTTTCGGGGCTTCTGGGGACCGTGGGCCCATAGAGGACAGGCTGTCTGAGTTTTAGGGTTTAGGGTTTAGGGGTCAGATTTAGGGTTTAGTAAAGGGTTCAGGTTTTGGGTTAGGCTTTAGGGACTGTAGGGTTTAGGTTTAGGGTTCCCGCCGCAAGACACAACGAGTTTAGCAGGCTGCCCTTCTTCGGGGGCCTTCTCACAAGTCGTGATTCGGGCTGAGGGTTCGGATTTAGGGCTTAGAGTTTAGGGCTTAGGGTTTAGGGTTTAGCGTTTAGCGTTTAGGGTTTAGGTTTAGGGCTTAGGGTTTAGGGTTTAGGGTTTGGGGTTTAGGGTTTAGGGTTTAGGGTTTAGGGTTACGAGCTGTTCTGCATGTATTTGAGGACCAGAAGCCTCGGGAGATTATCCGGGCTCTTTCCCTGCCACCGCTCCAGAGCGTATCCTGGCCGATGCAAAGCTAGGGCTGTGGCATGAGGGTTATATTGCGTCATATTCAATAACCCTAAACCCTAGACCCTAAACCCTAAACCCTAAACCCTAAACTGCAATGCTAAAGGATTTTAGCATAAGTTAGCTCGGGCACTTGAGCTTTATCTCCTCAGCCTGCCAGCGGCTCAGAAATGCAAGATTTCTACTTGGCTCGTCACCTGGCTTCCCTACGAGTGCCCATGGAGATGGTGGTCAGAGAGGAGGGCCGTTCTCACAAGGCCCGCTCGCGGTCTCCTCGTAGACGTTCAAGAAGTCGTTCACGCAGGCGTGACCGTGGTGACCAGAACGCTGCTAGGGTTTCGCCGGAGCAGAGGACGCCAGCAACTCCGACGTCTTCCCGTGGCAAGAAGTAGGACAAAGGCGGCTCCTTCGATTGGGCACCGGTTGAAGAGCGACGCCAAGACCAGGTTCAAAGGTGCCTTCCGGCGACACTTGGTCGCCACAGTTTTGATGGGGCTCTCGGCGAAGCAGAGAACCCAGCCACTTTACAGTCTGGCAGCAGCAAAGAAGTTCAGCAAAGCTTGCTCACGGCATTTTCTTCGGACGCACGGCTTCCGCCCGCCAGTTCTCTCACTCCGCGTATCCTCGGCATCATGTCCCACAAAGGGTTTTGTCAAGGTGATTTTCTGGATGAGAGGATCCTGGCGGACAAGTCTCGCTACATGTCCTCCTGGGAAGATTTCGTTTCCGAGGTTATTCAATTCAGCAGCCCCCTGCGCCAACCTTTCCGAGACTTGTCCAGCACTGTGACTGCAGGGATTTGGCAAAGGGCTACGCTGTCCGCCGCAGAAATTGCGGCATACCGGACGGAGCAGATGGCGCGTATTCGTCGCGTTGTGGCGGCGGATGGTCCTTCAACACAGCCTCGTTGGGGAGTGTTACAGCGTTTGGCAGAAGTGGCAGGCCATCCAGATAAGGCTTTGGCCGAAGATGCGCAGCAGCCAGATGGATTCCGCTTGTTGGGACGACTGCCAGTAGTGCCACAATGGCCACAACGCCCGGAACCTCTTGCTTGGGATGATGCAGCTCATGTTCGAGATCTCCAGCGTCTCTTGGACAAGCATGCTGTTAAGCAGAAGGATGGTCGCTTCAAGGTGCCTGGCAGCCACTCCGCGGAGCTTCACAGGCTACTCGAGGAGGAGACCACCAAAGGCTTTTGGACGTCCTACTCGTGGTCAGAGGCGCGTCAAGAGTTGGGAGACTTTGCTTGTTGGTTGTACTTCGGGGTTCAAGAACCATCTAAGCTTAGGGGTTGCTTGGATCCGGAAGAAGCCAATGGTCCATCGATGGTCCTGCTGCCGAACCAAGTTCTCATGGCTGGTTTGGATGGCTACCTCTCGCTTTGCCAAACAGTGGCTGCCGCCTTCAAAAAGAAAGGGCAGTTTCCAGCTCTGCGGGGCTTTGCCGAAGATTACGAGCACGGATTCCGGCAGCTTCCTCTGTCCTCTTTGAATAGAAAGCTCTTTTGCGCAACGGCCCAGGACAAGGAGGGGAACATCAGAATTTATGTGCCCCGAACGCTTTTGTTTGGACCGCGAGGGTCCCCGCATGTTTTCTGCCGAGTCACGGATGCCGTGTCAGCCATAGCTGCGGTTCTCTTGCTGATCCCCAACGTTCCTCACGTGGACGATTTGGTGGGCGTGGACACTCAGGATGCAATAGTGTCGGCGCGAGAGGCCTTTGTCGAGCTGCACGAGCTTCTGAATTTCAGGCTCAAGGCCACCAAGGCTAGACCGCCTCGCGATGCAGCGGGAAGTGCTTCAACGTTTGTGGCGCTGGGAGCTCTCCTCAGCTTTGACACCACGGAACACCAGCGGAAGCTAGGCTTGGTTTGCACCGTGGACATGCCGCAGCAGAAAGTAAAGAAGTACTCGGACGTCATCACGTCTACATTGGCGCAGCGTCACTTATCGGCTGCCGTGGCTGGGAAATGTGTGGGCCAGTGGGACCATTGTTCGGCTCTGGCCCTCGGCAAGTCAGGTCGTGCCTTTACGTGGCCTCTTAGGGAACTTTCTCGCGGCGGACAAGTCTCGTGGCGAGTGCTGCAAGCTGCTCTAGTGGGCTTCAGCATTTTCATGTGCGCCTCCGGCCCCATGCCGGTGCATGTTCCAGGCACGCTGGCTCGAAGTCTCGAAGGGCGGCCCTCATCTTTGTGGATGCTGCAGGGAGAGCCAACAGCTACAGACTCGGAGGAGTGGCTTGGGGAGCTGGTTGGTTCTGCTTTTTCTCTCAAGAGATACGACCAGAGGACTCTAACCTGTTGCCTTGGCTGTCGGGTCACTGCATAAATGAGGCCGAGGCCTTAGCAGCTGTGGTGGCATTGCTCACCTGGTCGGACCGGCTGGAAAACGTGGATGTCTTCATCTTCATAGACAACGTGGCTGCGGAAGGTGTCTTGGTCAAGGCGTACAGTTCGTCGCCGCACCTTACAGTCCTAGCAGGGCTGTTCTGGCAGGCAGTCAGGCGGGTCAAATGCTCAGCATGGGTGGGGCGCGTTCCTTCGGAACTCAACATAGCTGATGGTCCCAGCCGAAAGCATCATGCAATCTTGGAGCAGCTCCACGCTTCACAAGTCGCAGCAGTTCTGCCTCCGGCTTTCACTGCTAATTTCTTCTTGGAATTCTTACAGAGTTCCTGGGTCCAAGCAGATGCCTCTGTCAGCCACGCGGCTCCGGGACCGCGTCCCGTGCAACCTTGCGCAACTGGTGCAGCAACCGCTGCGGGCCATGACCGCCTACAGGCAAGCGTAGCAGATGGTTCTCCTCCGCTGGCGTCATCCGACCACGCGGTCCGTCAGGTTCCTTCAAGGGACTGGGCTTCTCAAGCAAGTCGCAAGCGTCGCCACCAGGGCCAACGCTGACAGGGGAGCTGCTGCTGTCCGAGGAAAGGCGTCTGTGTCCGTGTCTCTGTGTGTGTGTGTGTAGGTGTGTGTTTCTTTTGTTTGGTTGGGGGGGGGGGTTGGCTTCGCTTCTGGTATTGCGGGGTCTCCTCTCTTTGAGTTTCTGCTACGTTCGGAGCAATCTGCTTGCGCGGCTTAGGTGCCTTGGGAGGTTGTCTTGCGGCTTGAGGAGTTTGACAGTTCTGGTTTGGAGTTGGGGGACTTCAGGGGTTCTTGCTCATCCCTTAATCCGAAACCCAAGTTGCTGGCGGAAAGTTGCTGGCTGCCGCTCTGCTTTGACCAACCCAGGCAAACTCTGAAGATTTGTAAGCGTGCTAGCCTCAGGCTGACTTGAGGCTGCCCGATACAACAATCAGGCCTCGTGTTGGTAGGTCCCAGCGCTGCCAAATATACATCCATGTGTATGGGGGCATCTTACATGACATGAGATATACATATATATATATATATATGTGTGTGGTTTGTCTAAGAGATTTTGGCATTTTGTAGCGCTTCCTTTGACGGCATGCATGTATGTTGTGCCTAGAGGGGAACTTCCATGGAAACGACGGAAGCTTCAGCAAGCTTCGGTGGCAGATCCGGAACAGAGGCGGCAGTTACACAATACAAAGGTGCACTCAGAGTCCTCCAGTTCGAAAGCTGCGTCCGCCAGTGATGTAACGTCGAGTGCGGCAAATACTTTCAGACTGGCGTGCGCAGAACCTTCAGAGTTGCACCAGGCTGTCGGTATGCTTCCTCCCCGAGGGCGCAGTCAGGCGGGACCGACCCCGACACAAGAGATCGTTCTACTGGAAGACTTGGCTCGCAGAAAATTTCCGGTGGGTCAGATCTTGGATTCGATTGCGTCAGCAAGGGCTCAAGCGGCAGTGGCTAAAACAACTTCGACCACCTACGCCTCCCATATTCGCATGATACATTGGGCGTGTCGTACTCTTCGCCAGCCACCATTGCCGGCTTCACTGCAGTTGATCAGCCGGGTGGCCGCTCTGATCAACAATCCGAACACTCAGAGAGGCTGGCTGGCAGCTTGGAGAGACTGGCATGTACGGGAACGTGTTCCATGGGCAGGGGACGCGGATTTGTTCCTCAAAAAGCTACGTAAGGGAACTGTACGCTTAGCTCCAGAGGCGCCTCCGAAGCCACGCTTGCAGTTGCACTGGTGGCGCAAGCTTCTCAAGCTAGCAGCGGGGAACCGGGACGTGGAGTTCGGTGCCATTTGCAATTTGGCATACACCTTTGCTGCAAGGGTTCCGTCAGAGATCTTTAAGCAGTTGTCTTGGTCCAGACTAAGTGTAGGAGATCGATGTTTAGTGTACTCCAACATTTACCGCAAGGGTAAGCCCCACCCTTGTACCTTGCGACGCTGGTGTGTTTGTAGCCGGTCGCCCTTGCTGTGCTGGCATCCATGGCTTGCAGCCCTACATGAACTACGAGGTCCTGCTTGGCCACAAGAGAAGCTGCTTGTTACCATGTCAGTGGCTACTTTCACCTCACGGCTGCGCAGTAGCTTGGTCACTTGCGGAATGTCGGCAGAAGAAGCACATAAGGTTTCCTCTCATAGCTTCAGAAGAGGCGCAGGCACAGATGTTTTACATGCATCTCCAGTGGCTTGCGCGCTCCTGGCAGGGTCGTCGTGGCATGCTTCGGCAGCATATGGGCTCCCTGGAATGCTGAGGATGGGAGATTGGAGTACGCCGGCGTCAGCGTCGCGCTACGCCACGCAAGATGAGCAGCAAGCAGCCACATTGGCCTTCCAGCTTTTGGAACTTTCAGAAGATGAATCATAGATCTCCTCTCGTTCTGTTTTCCCCCTTCTTCCATATATACCAAGGGTCCCAAGGGCGATCATATCTTCGCCTTGGTATATCTTACCCTTGGGGAAAACAGAGTCCGCGGCAGCTTCACATCTGCATTCAAGTAGGGCTAATGCAATGCTAAAGGATTTTAGCATAAGTTAGCTCGGGCACTTGAGCTTTATCTCCTCAGCCTGCCAGCGGCTCAGAAATGCAAGATTTCACCCAGCCCGCCCGCCCGGGGCGATCATATCTTCGCCTTGGTATATCTTACCCTTGGGGAAAACAGAGTCCGCGGCAGCTTCACATCTGCATTCAAGTAGGGCTAACCTAAACCCTAAACCCTAAACCCTAAACCCTAAACCCTAAACCCTAAACCCTAAACCCTAAACCCACCCCTCTCCATTTAGGGCACTGCTCAAAATGACGGCCTTTTTTCGGGTATCCTAAATAAGAAGGGCCGCCTTAAAATAAGACTCCAAAAGGGGCCGTAGTTTAGAGAAATGACCATGTTATACGATATTGTAGCGTGTTTTGAAATGGTATATTATTTTTCAGATCCCCACAGGTAAACCACAGGTATGCTGGTCCCCTCAACAAGAATTCGAAGGGGTTCATTATAATCGAGACCCCAACGAGGGCCAGGGCCCGTTGTTTCCATCACCCCCCCCCCCCCCCCCACCCCCTACCGCACATCTGCACATATGCTCCAGCGTATCGGCCGGTGGGCAGAGGCTCACCATTTGCCCTGGCTAGATCACTCCATCCGATGTGTATAGAAATATCTAGACGGCAACAACCGAATCATCGTGAGAGTGCTAGCAGCCTCGGGAGCAGGTCTAGTCCCATTTTGAGTGACTCGAGCGGCAGGCCGCCAACTAGTGCAACCAGAGCACAAGACTCTTCAGCCTACACGCCGTGCTACCGACGTTTTCCTAAAAGCCTTAAAGCCCTCCAAAGACACACCCTGAAACTCCCTTACATATAAAAACGAACTAACCATAATGATGAGTCCCCCTGACTCAACTGCCTTCAAACTCACACTGCAAAAAATCTCCTTCAAGGCCGCCCCAATACCCTAAACCCTAAGCCTAAACCTACCTTAGGGTTTAGGGTTTAGGGTTTAGGGTTTAGGGTTTAGGGTTTAGGGTTTAGGGTTTAGGGTTTAGGGTTTAGGGTTTAGGGTTTAGGGTTTAGGGTTTAGGGTTTAGGGTTCTCTTTACGACTCTGACATTCCCAAGGAGAAGACCTCGAAGGCCGCCGACCGCGACCGAGTGCCTCGCAAGCCCCCGCCGGCCGCTGAGCCGAGCTCGGCGCGTCCTCCGCCGCTTGGGTTCGTCTGGAAGGGGGGTTTGGGGTTTAGGGTTTAGGGTTTAGGGTTTGGGGCTTGGGGTTTAGGGTTTTGGGTTTAGGGTGTTTTGGGGTTTAATTAGGGGTTTTGGGGTTAGGGTTTTGGGTTTGGGGTGTTTTGGGGTTTTCGGGTCTAGGGGTTGGGGTTCAGGATGTTGGGGTTTAGGCTTGTCTTTGTTTCTTTGCGAGCTGCCCCTCCCCTCCCCCCCCCCCCAGAGACACGACGAAGTGCATGATCACGGCAGGTTTGCTGTTTGTGTGGTCTCTTGAGGGGAGCATGGCTGCTACTCCCGTGGTTCTTTGCTGGGCTGCGCTCTTAGCCGTTCTCAGGGTTTAGGGGTTTAGGGTTTAGGTTTTAGGGTTTAGGGTTTTAGCCGGTTTATAGCTCTCAATCATAAAGCCCCATGTCCCGGACCCACAAGCACACCCCGCCTCCCGCAGCTTCCAACCCCCTTCCTAAGCCCTACACGAACTCGAGCCTAGTGTAGTCAAACTTGTTGTTATAGTCACGCAAGTTACGGGGTTTAGGGGGTTTTCCGGCTTAGAACCGTCACTTTGGGTCGATAGTACAGGGGGCCCTCATCCTAAACCCTAAACCCTAAACCCTATATAAAACCTAAACCCTAAACCCTAAACCCTACTACATCAGAGTCCAGGAAAGCCCTAGAAGAGCTCGGCTCAAGCCTGTGAAAGGCTGGGATGATAACACAACATGCTTGAAAGGGGGATTCTCGTCCCACATCACTTACAAGGTTTAGGAATTACAAGGGTTTCGGTCTTAGGGTTTTGGGTTTAGGGATCCCCTAAGTCTGGTAAGACAAAGATTCGCATCCCCTAGGTCTGCGTCTCCTCCTCTCTCCCAATAGGGCCATGGCCAGCCTGGCGAGCAAGATACCCCCGCCGGTGCTCCTACTCGGATGGGGCACGCCGGTGGAAGCTTCCCAGCCGCCCAGCCCCGGCCAGCCCATGAGGATTCCTGTGCGGACCTCCATCACGGAACACCTCACGCCGGCCGCTGAGGAGCCACCCTTGATCATGACGACGGTGCCAAGGCCAACGCACCCGGGTGTCCCAAACACCCTAAACCCTAAACCCTAAACCCTAAACCCTAAACCCTAAACCCTAAACCCTAAACCCTATAGGGTTTATAACCCTAAACCTGGTCAGGTCAGGCTCAGCGGCTCCCGTTGCAGTTGGCGCACCATACACAGGGCCGCCTCCTGGCCTGTTCCTGTTTCTTGGTTAGGGTTTAGGGTTTAGGGTTTAGGGTTTAGGGTTTAGGGTTTAGGGTTTAGGGTTTAGGGTTTAGGGTTTAGGGTTTAGGGTTTGTGGTACCCTTTTCCCTCTTTTCTTGGTTCAGGGTTCCCTTGTAACAGTAAGCAACCCAAAAAGGTAATTGATCCCTCTTTTCTTGGTTCAGGGTTCCCTTGTGGAGTAAGCAACCCCAAAAAAAGGGAACTGATTAGGGTTTAGGGTTTAGGGTTTAGGGTTTAGGGTTTAGGGTTTAGGGTTTAGGGTTTAGGGTTTGATTACAGAAGATGGTTGCTGGACTACCAAGGTTTCCAGACAATGTCGGACAGGAGTCGCCATACGTGAGGCCACCTCCCGGGCTGGTCCTGGCTGCAGACAACGTAGCTCGGTAGGCCCTTGGGGACATGTCGCATTTTCCCTTATTGTGTTTAACCCCTAAACCCTAAACCCTAAACCCTAAACCCTAAACCCTAAACCCTTTAAGAGGACTATCCTAGGTCAGCAAGCTGGAGGCGCAAACCAACTCGGCGCAGGAGTCGGCGGAGGATCTCGCCAGGGGGCTTGCGGAAGCGCAGGTTGCGGCCAGGCAGTTTGAGGACGGTAAGACCACGGCCACCGGGTAGCTGAATGAGTACACTTTGCATTTTTTTTGGGGATAATCCCCCTCTAGAACTGAAAGCGTACATTCTTTTAAGGGCTTATGAAGTCAGCAACTAAGGTCATGCTCCGCAACATCCCCAACCGATACTGGAGTGAGGAGCTGCTGGGGGAGATTATGATGGCGGGGTTCCGAGGAAAGTTCGACTTCTTCTACCTTCCCAAGGACCTCAAGACCAAGCGAAATTGTGGTAGCCCAGTGGTACCCCTTTTCCCTTTTTTTGTTGGTTCTGGGTTCCCTTATACAGAAACCACCCCCCAAAAAAAGGATGCCCTTATGATAATATGGTTACTGGGCACTGAGGAAATTGTGGCTATGCCTTCATCAACTTCCACTCAAGTCAGGTGGCACAGGAGTTTGCAATGGCCTTCCACAATCGCAAGCTGAGCTTGCACAGTTCGAAGAAGATCGCGGAGGTGGTTCCTGCCATAACGCAGGGCTATGATGCGAATCTGTCCGTGTATCTGCCTCGCATGAAGTGTTTGAAGAATGCACAATTCAGGCCCATGTTCTTCCCTCAAAGTGGCTTCGAACGTGGGGTTGGTGGGGTTGGGGAGTGCATAAAGGTTCAAGGTTGAGGGTTTAGGGTTTGGGGTTAGTTTAGGATTTAGGGTTTAGGGTTTAGGGTTTAGGGTTTAGGGTTTACGTTAAGGATCGTGGTTCCGCAAGAAAGTAGGCTGTGTAGCGTGTGTGACAAAACGCGAACGCCGTGCCTGCAGCGGAGGTAGAAGGTGCTGCAGACCCCAAACCCTAAACCCTAAACCCTGAACCCTAAACCCTAAACCCTAAACCCTAAACCCTAAACCCTAAACCCTAAACCTTCCGGCAGTACTTACGAGATCTCAAGAGCGTTGGTCGAGTCTAATCTTGGGCCTTTTCGCCGCTTTCTAAACGATACGATGTAACATGCTAGTAAGCCCGAAACTCCTAAACCCTAAACCCTAAACCCTAAACCCTAAACCCTAAACCCTAAACCCTAAACCTTGATCCTTAACAGCAAAAACCCATATCAATGTAAAAGTGCCCATAATCTATAGACCACTGGTGGCCCGGTGTAAAGCTATGACGACTAATAGGGGTTCATGGGGGTTCAGAGTTTAGGGTTTAGGGTTTGGGGTTTAGTTTAGGGTTTGGGGTTTAAGGTTCAGGGTTTGGGGTATACTGTACTTGGGCTTCCACGTACTGCCTATGTAGCGGCTTCGGGGCAACCAAAGACTAGGTAGGCATATTACATGGATCCGTACTAAGTCCTAGCCCTAAACCCTAAACCCTAAACCCCAAACCCCAAACCCCAAACCCCAAACCCCAAACCCCAAACCCCAAACCCTAAGCCCTAAGCCCTAAACCCTAAACCCTAAACCCTAAACCCTAAACCCTAAACCCTAAACCCTAAACCCTAAACCCTAAACCCTAAACCCAGCCCTTCGGGGGTTGTCTGCAGCGGCGGGCCCGAGGTTCGCTACCTTTTTTTGTCTTGTCTCTGAGAGGTTGAACCTTACCCTATGGGTCCATGTATCTAATTTTGGGTTTAGGGTTTAGGGTTTCGGGTCTAGGGTTTAGGGTTTAGGGTTTAGGATTGGGATGGTCCCCCTTTTTCTAACAGTCCTTCCTAGGGATTACAACGGGGGGAGTACTCTAATCCCCATTAAGGACTATTCGTATAAGCGGGAGTATCCCAACTCATAAGCTAATAGCTCATTTAAGAGTTCCTGGAGACTGGGCAGCCTGGACCATCATCATCTACTGTTTGCTTAAGAATCCCCCCGCCCCAAAAAAACAAAATATAGAAAATGATCACTTTTTGGCACTCATAAGGAAGACCATTCCATATTGTTTGCGGGGTTCTCAAGCAACTAGTAGCTATGGCAGCATGTGTTTTGGCTGTTTACACCGCTGGGTTGAAAGTAACCTGGCGGTGAAAGGCCTCTGTTCCTTCCGGCTGGAATTTGTTGCTTTTGCCTCTGTCTTGACCCTAAACCCTAAACCCTTAGCCCCAAACCCTAAGCCCTAAACCCTAAACCCTAAACCCTAAGTGATTTCGGTGGCATGGGCCCTCGACCCTCACCCCAAGATCCAGCAGCAACCTCGCTCAGGGCGAGCCATTTGCTCTTCTTTGGGCAATCGTTGGATCCCCAAGGTTTAGGGTTTAGGGTTTAGGGTTTAGGGTTTAGGGTGTAGGGTTTAGGGTGTAGGGTTTAGGGTTTAGGGTTGGTTAGTAGGGAATGAGGGAATGAGGTACCCCATATCCCCCTATATATACCCTGTAAGGGATTCTATAGGGTATTCGCATTCCCTGAACTAAACCAAGAGTACCTCCACAAGGCAACCCCAGGGCCGGTTGTAGGGTTTCTAGAGTTTATAGGGTTTATAGGTTTTTTTGGGTTTATAGGGTGTATAGGGTGTATAGGGTGTATAGGTTCATATAGGGTTTATAGGTTTTAGGGTTTACAAATTCAGGGTTTACGGTTTCGGGTGCCTCTTTTCCTGGGAGTTCTGAGCCCTGCCGAGCTCGCGGCAGGCTTCTCGTTCCAAGTCTGACCGTTCCCAGCCAGAATTCGTGCTTGACAGCAACCGACGATGTGAGTCCAATGCCCAGTATCCCCAAAAAGGAGGGCGGGGGGTTGAATGTCGTTCATAAGGGCCCTAAGCCCGAAATCCTAAGCTCTAAGCCCCGAACCCTAAACCCTAAACCCTAAGCCTAAGAACACGGAAGACGTTCCTTGCGAAGACCCTGAATCACTTCACCTTCAAGTAGAATTCACCCATGTTTAGGGTTTAGGGTTGAGGGCTTTGGGCTTAGGGTTTAGGATTCTGGAGTCTGTTTATTGGTTACGAACAAACGTGTCTATGGGGTTCTGCGTCGTGTTATTGCAGAGCTCTGCCGGTCTTTCAAGTCTCGAAGGGTAGTCTCATGGGCTCTTAACATGGTCCCTTACATTGTATGGGCCCTTTGGTTGTAGAGGGTATGTTTTGGGTATATAAGGGGTCCCTTTTTGAGGGCCCAGAATCAGGGAACCCTAAACCTCAAACCCCAAACCCCAAACCCTAAACCATAAACCCTAAACCCTAAACCCTAAGAGAGGTTCAGGGTTTAGGAGTCCTATATTGAGGGACCATGTAACCCTAAACCCTAAACCCTAATCCCTAAACCCTAACCCCAAGAGTGTCTATATGGTTTGGGATGCCTCTTGTCTTTGCAAAGGACTTGGCGAGCGCACGTTAGTTGCTGCCCTGTGTTTTGAGAAGGGCAAGGATCCAAGGCTTATAACCCTAAACCCTAAACCCTAAACCCTAAACCCTAGACCCTAAACCCTAAACCCTGGGGTTGTCGATGTATCGACAGAAGACGTAAACGGGCCATCCCAGGAAGAAGACTGCGACATCGTCGCCTCGGGTCCCGCTCCCTCCCTGCGCAGGGTTTAGGGTTTAGGGTTTAGGGTGTAGAGTTCAGGGTTCAGGGTTTAGGGTTTAGGGTTTAGGGCGGTTTAGGTTTTAGGGTTTTGTGTTTTGTGCTGCAAGTTAGGGTTAACCGTTTACCCTAACCCTTAAACCTTTCCCCTAGGATCAGAATGGCCCAAAAGCCAAAGACCTCACCTCGTATGGTCTCCGAGCTCCAACACCCAACGTAAGAACCGTTCAAGGGTTTGGGGTTTAGGGGTTCGGGTTTAGGGTTTAGGGTGAGGGTTCAGGGTTTAGGCAGACGTGTTTAGGGCTTAGGGATTAGGGATTAGGGCTTAGGGCTTAGGGCTTAGGGCTTAGGGTTTAGAGTATCAGGGTTCTGGACACACATCGGCATCCGATCTGCATACCTTGCGTGGCTTCAACCATCTGTTTAAGGCAGTGTCTTATCGACAGTAACCGGAACCATCGCCACACTCAAACCCTAAATCCTCAACCCTGAACCCTAAGCCCTGAACCCTAAACCCTAAACTCAAAATCCTCAACCCGAAACCCTGAGCCCTGAATCCTCAACCCCGCACGAAGCCAAACACGAAGCATCTGCTTGTCTACCTCTCAAGGAGACTACGTTTCCAACAAACGTGGGAGCAAGAAGTAGCGAATATGGGCTCTCATTAAACTCTAAGCAATGAACCCTGAACACCTACCTTCCAGACTGAAATTCCTGGCCCTCCAGTACTGGAAGCCCTAAGCCCTAAACCCCAAACCCCAAACCCCAAACCCCAAACCCTAAACCCTAAACCCTAAACCCTAAACCCCAAACCCTGCCTTCCAGCACTGGAGTCCCTGGCCCTCCCAAGCTCCAAACCATGGCGCTGGTCACCGAGAAGATGGCGCGCATGCGCAAGCTGGCGGAGGCACGGGGGGGCGGAGTCCTAGTTGTTTTTGGGAGAGGTGGGGGGGTTTGGGTCATACGGGCGCTTAGGGGGCGGGAGCTGGTTTCTTGGTTCGGGTTTCTCGTCCGGGTTCAGGATTCAGTGAATGTTGCAAAGGCACAATCCAGCATTCATAACTTTTAAGTTTTCGAAGAACCCAAGTGTGCCCTTATAAGTCTCGATATCTGGACGCAAGGTTTGGAGATCTGATTGGCCCAAACCTACCTTTTTCGAGGTGTTGCTGGGGGGGTGGGGGTACAGCTTGCGAGCAAAGTTTCGTTCAGGAGCTGCTGCGGTAGAGTTTTAAGTTTTAGGGCTTAGGGGAGGTTGAGGGGGGGTTGTGGTTTAGGGCTTATGGTTTGGAGTGTAGGGTTTAGGGTTTAGGGTGTAGGGTGTAGGGGTTTAGGGTTTAGGGCAAAGTTTATAGTTTAGGGTTTAAGGTTCCCAGCGTGAGGCCATGCAGCAGGAGGAGGATGAGGAGAACGCGCCAGATCCAGAGGCGAAGCTAGGGTGCCAGGTTTAGGGTTTAGGGGTTTAGGGTTTAGGGTTTAGGGGTTTAGTGATTTAGGGATTTAGGGGTTTAGGGTTTAGGGTCTAGAAGGAGGGACCCTTATAAGGGACCTTGGGTTATTTTGGGGGCTACTTAGGTATATAGGGTCTATATCTAAGCTAGATATATATATATATGTATAATATATATATATATATATATATTATACACACATATATATATATAGGGGAATCAGTTGAGGGTCCTTTCTAGGGGCCCCTCCTTTTTGGGTTTAGGGTTTCGGGGGCACTCCTACTTTAGGGACCGGTACATGACCTCGCGGGCAAAGAGAAGAAAGAAATGAGCCCGGGGACATAAGGAACAGAGTTGCAGGGGCACCTATAAAAGAATGGTATTTTGCGCCCCAATTTGTTTCCTTCACGCTTATTTTAATTTCATGCGTTCATTAATGTCAGTCATTCGCTTATGCATTAATGTAAGCGTTCCTTTCGCTCCATTGATATATTTCTTCACCCATCTTTCAGGGCTTATACATATATCCTTAAAATGCGTGCGCTCACTTGCATCTTTAATGAGGGCAATGAACGAGCGAATAAATGAGCATGTGAATGAACACTTCTTCGTCATTATAATAATAATGAAACCCGAAAACCCGAGAAACCCACCCCAAATCCCAAACCCCAAACCCCAAAACCCACACCCTAAAACCTAAACCAGAGCAACAGAAAATCCAGAGGATGAGCGGGTGGCTGAGCTCCTGGCTGCCTTCACCGCAGCTTCCGAGTCGTCCCTTGGCGAGGACTTTCATGGCGAGTTGGTTGAGGGGGTTGAGGGTTTAGGGCCGTTCGGGGTCTTTCGTTTCGGGTTTGGGTTTTTCGCTTTGAGGTCTGAGCATGTTCTTTGAGGGCTTGTGTGTGCAAAGGCTTTGTTTTGGATTGGCTTAGGTCTTTGTGCTTTCTTGAGATTAGTTTTGGGATGTTCCCCCTTAGACAAACAGTCTGTAATAGCGGGTATTATGATCCCTGCTAAGGACTGTTAGTATCAGGGGGAACATCCCAAAGTTTAGGGTTTCCTAACCCTAAACCCTAAACCCTAAACCTTAAGCCTTAGAGTTTCGGGGCTCCATAGGGGTCCTTTCAGTAATAGGTACCACATCAAGTAGTAGGAGTTCCATGAGTCCCTTTTTCAGAAATCCCTACGAAATTAACGGCTTTAGGGTTTAGGGTTTAGGGTGGCTACTGTAGGGGAGGTGATGACCTGAGGGCAGAACGGTTTCAAGTCTCTACTTGGAGGATCACGCGGTCCAGAAAGGGTACAGAGTTCAGTGCCCTACAAAGGGCCCTAGTTGGGGTTATCCTACTTCAGAATCACAAAAAAAAAGTTGCTACTCAGTATTAAAATCCCTATAGAACTACTTCGAAACCCTAAACCCTACACCCTATATAAGCCCTAAACTACCACACAACCCTACTCCATAGCTTAAGTCACCCGGTCTCCTAAGAAGGTGCGCCGCGAAGTCAGATTTGAGAATCTCTAAGCTCGAGTCGTGCGTGGTCTCTAGGAGCCTTACATGAAGGGTTTTGGGTTTAGGGTTTTAGGGTTTGTGGTTTAGGGCTGGTATGTTCCCCTGTTTCAGGGGACAGGTCTTTTTGTAAACCCCACGACAGAAGCATCAAGAAGATTCCCTATCCCTTTGCTTCTCGGAAACCGAGCAGCCCGAATCCCCATAAAGCCTGTCTGGAATCTCTGCGCTCTATGTGAAACCTACAACCGTAGATGACAACCTTTATTTTTCAAACCGAAACCCCCAGACCCTAAGAAAGCCTTTCATATCCAATCTAAACCCTAAACCCTAAACCCCTACAGCTTCATTTGTTTTCAGGGCGAACCTCTTTCTCTCTCTCGTGTGGTCTCGCGGACGTTTACAGTAACTTGCGCCAGGTCCAGCGCTGGCAAGTTCGAGGAGGCGAGAACACCTCTGTGAGTTAAGGGTTTAGGGTTATTAGGGTTTAGGGTTCAGGGTTTAAAGTTTAGGGTTTAGGGTTTATGGTTCAGGGTTCAGGGTTCAGGGTTTAGGGTTTAGGGTTTAGGGTTTACGGTGCAGGCTTACTTGGGGGCCTAGACCTCAATACACCCTAACCCCTGAAAACCCACAAAAAACACAATTCAATCAACAACCCCAAGCCCTAAACCCTGAACCCACCCATAATGATCACGTGACCACATTGTTATTGTGATTGTTAGTATTCTTAGTAGTATTAGTATATTGTATTTTCATTATTATTGTTCTTACTATTGTTGTTCTTATTCTGATTCTTATTCTTATTATTTTTCTTGTGTTTATTGTTATGATTATTTTTGTATTACTATTGTGTGCTATAGAGCGCGTAACACGATTCCAAGGGCACGTCTTTGCTGGTGTACGCAAGAATCGAAAAGTCATGTGTGCCCTTGCTTCACTCGCTTCCTTCTAGTTTAGGGTTTAGAGTTTAAGGTTTAGGGTTTAGGGTTTAGGGCTAGTATACTATGACAGCTCACTTAATGCATGATGGTGCTCACGGGGCAGTTACAATAGGAAACAAATCAAAGACCCAGATGTACACGGTCTACTAGTACAGGTAACCGCCCAAGAACACCAGGAGTTAGCTGATGGGTGAACAAGGCAAGGCTGTGATACAGAGGCAAAAAGAGGTCATTCGGAAGGGTCTTTGGGAGGAGAGAGCGGTTAACGTTCACTTGTCCTTTCGTACACCTTCAAACTCATGACACCTTATCTGCCCAAGAGTCCGTCCATGAAGAGCACCCACGAAAGGCCAGGATTTTCGATGTTTAGGGTGCGCGAGGGGTAGGAAGAGACTCAGGGCCCCAAGCCTCGCAAACCATACACCGCTTGAAATTCTAGAGCTGTAGGGTTTTGGGTTGTTCAAGCTGAGGCTTTTCTGGAACACCCTAAGCCCTAAACCCTTAAACCCTAAACCCCTAAACCCCCCTAACCCAAAGACCCCTGAACTGGGGTCCTAAGTGCGATATCTTAGCCTCATACGTCCCTTAGCTACAGTTACGAAGACCCAGAGTAGGCCCTTATTCCCGTTTAGGTTCCCTTAGAAGCCCCTTTAAACCACACAGGGTACCCACTTTGGTTTCTAGGTGACTCTTGTGTCTAGTAGGCCTAAGCCCTAAATTCTAAATGTCCAACCCTTAGGCCCTAAGCCCTAAGCCCTCAGCCCTAAGCCCTAAGCCCTAAGCCCTAAGCCCACAACCCCATCCCTTCTTGAAATACTGCGACCTTGCTGTGCCCCTGGCAAGCGAGGATCCAGCTTCCACCACTTCCCCCGGTGCCACCACAGAAGAGTTTAGGGTTTAGGGTTTAGGGTTTAATTAGGGTTTAGGGTTTAGGGTTTAGGGTTTAGGGTTTAGGGTTTAGGGTTTAGGGTGTGTCACATGCTCCGCGCACACCACCACGCAAGGCGTGTGTTGTGGTGTGCGCCAAGGTTCACGTCCTCTCCCAACCCACCCACCCAGTTTATGACCTTGGTCGGGTTTAGGGTT